AAAAAACCGATTTTTTTTAGAGTGTACGAAAATATATTTTAAACACTTTCTCACGCTATGCATCATTTACAACATTAACAGTATAAACAGACATATCATATAAATATTTCATGACATTTTTTTTGGAATATTATATTTAAACAAACAACAACCTGAATATATTGAAAAGTATTGATCTAAAATTCCTAATATTTCCACTATAATACTAGTAACCATTAATAACGAAACAAACTTGTACTGAATAAATCCTCATTTGTTTTAATTTACGCTTACCATTTCCATATTTTCACATTTAATATATGAAAAAATTAAAGGCCCTCTATCGAATAACTACTTAAATCGTAGGGAATATGTGAGTTCCACATTTTAGCCCCAAAGGGGCTGCGCTAACAAGCTTTTGTATCAGAAAATTCAATTTTTTTCTTCTTAGATTTATCATAAAAAAACAAAAATAATCGAAATAAGAAAGCTCAAAATTCAAAAAAAAAGTCTTTTTCAGTCATTTGTTTATTTCTAACGATAGTAAGTCGAAGTAGCTTTTGTTTCTCTGATTTTATTGAACAACAATAAATGATCACTAATAAAAGCACAATTGCCTGAAACCTTTCATCAGTGAAATCCAAACAAAAGATTATCTTCTCTTATCTATCTAATAAACTTTATCATGACTGTATTGAAACTATATGCTCATAAAGCTGTTTCTTGTTATCTCGAATCGAAAAGTTTTAAAACTCTTTGACATCTATGAAGTCTTCCGAATCTAGCAGCATTTGGTTTTTGTTTGTTTGATCTGATCAAACAGAATCGATTCAATCAAAGCAACGTACAATATATTTTTTTTTGCTTTACTTTATTTTTTCTTTAAAATCTCATTACTTACTGATATATATCCTAAGTAGATCAGCAATTCTTATTCGAAAGAATCCTTTTTTAAATAGTAAGAATAATTAAAAAAGGGAACTAATTAAATGTTCAGTAAAGAAATCAAACGATCAGTACGAAATCCAATGTTCAGTTAATTTATTGCTTGCACAGTAAAATAAGAAATTAATTAGTATTAAAATTAAAGTTTCAGTAGTCAATTCAGTTTCCTGATTAAAAAATCCATTTACTCAGTAAAAAGTAGTATTACTATAAGTAGTCAATTTGTTTTTTCTATGAAAATATTTTGATTTAAACAGAGGAGCGATTGTCCACATTGATTGATGACGACGTCATAAGTCAACATACTATGCTATATGGTAATCCTCGATAATTGTGTACATAAGTTGTATCAATTATCGATACTATGTTTTTTTAACCTATTTTTCTGTTCTAGTATGGTTGTTCGATCCTTTACAGTTACATGTACAGATGAATACACTGTATTCACCCTTTGTTCTCAATGTAACAAAGGTAAAGAAGATTCTCGATATCGTGTCCCCTTATCTGGTCCTTTGTCTATTCCCATATAAATAGCTCGTTTATTCTAAATAAGTTGAAGTTTTCAGTAACCATAATTGCTATTGCTAGTTTGATATTAAAATGGGAACGGCCTTAGAAATTATGAAGTTCTAACTAATGTTTCTAACAACGAGATGGTTACAAGTGAAACTATAGAGGGTGTGAGGTTGGGTGTTGATCTCGATGTCACTCATCAGAACAGACTAACACTCACACACCCTCTTTACTGAAATAAACTAATAAGAAATTGAACAAAAATAGGTTAAATACTGAACATTTTTAAATTAATTACTGAGCACTTTTAAATTAATTACTGAGAAGCTTGAATTGTTTACTGAACTTCATGAATTATTCACTGAATAAAAATTATTTTTTTTACTGATCAAAAACTATTGAACATCTGATAAAAAATTTATTGAACATTCATAATAAAATACTGAACGATTAAATACAAGTTATTAAAAAATATTTATAGAAATCTATCTAGCAAGCAAAGAAAGCCACGCCATTGTGAGTAAAAAGTCGTAGACACCAAATACCTTGATTACTAAATAAGAAAAATAAGTCGATTCTTTTTCAAATCAATGCTTTTTAATCACTTACAATCCATTAGTTCCATAAGCTTTCTTGTTGATTGATATATTATATTATTATTTAGAATAAATAAATTCAATGAAAGTAATAAAAATGTTGCCAAAAAGATACATTCTCAATGGCATCAAAGTTTTCAGAAACACCTTGTCTCACCGCTACATAATGTCTTTGAAAAAATAAAATCCAAGATGGAGGCAAAAGAAACGCTAGAATATAGATAATATGAAGTATTGGTGTCAATGTATTTGGTGACAAAGATAAATAACCTATTGCTGATCGACGATAAATTATTGTTAATTAATGAGGAAACCAAGCTAGCTAGACAGAATTTTGTTGTTTCTTTTTGTGTCAAAAACAAGTAACGCTCGTCTGTAGACTCGCTTAGCTCTTTCTCGTAGGAGTGCTGTTTCTAAACTGTTAACAATTTATTTATTTACGTGGTTTCACGATTCGAAATCAGCACATTCACACTGCATTATTCTGCCAAGTGCATCTATCTACACGTTTGAGTTTAGCATTCTGAGCAGAAAGTTGGGCTGATTTTTTTCCAACACTATGATGAGATTAGTAAATTTTATTATCCGCTACTCTTGCCACCTAAATCTCATCATCGATGATAGATTCTGGCTTTTACCTCGAATATCTGTGACCAACTGTTTTTTATAAAAAAAATAACCTTCCTAGATCGAATTACGGGCCAGAAAAATCTGATTGGTTGAATTGCTCACCCCCACCTAAAATCCTATTGGTTGAAATCGCAATGTCAAAAAACCTGATTAGTCGAAATCCCGACCAAAAATAACCTTCCTAGATCGAATTACGGGCCAAAAAAATCTGATTGGTTGAATTGCCCCCCCCCCCCCTGAAATCCTATTGGTTGAAACCGCAATGTCGGGAAACCCTATTAGTCGAAATCCCCACCAAAAATAATCTCTGATTATCCTTCGGTGAACCCTTATGTTCTTTTGACCCTCTGCGGACACACAAGCAATCAGACAATTTATGTTTGCAAGACTCTTCTTTACGAGAAAGAGAATAATCTATAATAAAATTTTATCTGTCATATATAATTCAATCTATTCAAACGTCGGAAAACCCATTTGAATGGAGTAATAGCATAGGTAACCACATCCTCCGTACGTGGTGTTTCATTCACTGATATTTCTGAAATATAGAATAGTAAAATTGTTTTGATCTATTTTTAAATAAACTTACATTTATCACCATAATTGTATAATTCATTAACAGTCTTATGGCCATTCAATAAATGAAGTGTACTAATAAGAAATACTAAACGAACATAATTATGACAATATGCGTCTGTTGGACGTTGTTTATTGGTCAACATTTTTCACGACAAAATAAGATATTCAAATAATTATTTTATTATAAAACTTTTCGAAAGTTACTTCTATAGAATATGCTCTTGTATTGTCTAACCTCTAAATAAAAGCATATACTGACCGATTTCAGCAGAAATATTATTAAAGGTAGTATTTTGGAAAATTTTGGCTAATTTCATTCGAAAATAACTGAACAAAGTCCGAAAGATTCTAGTTCAAAATATGATTGTTTTTCTGGATTCTTCTGATCAGTTATGATGAAATTTGCTCTTTTTCATTGTTCAGAATTATCGACTAGAGGTTAGTTGTATATTTTATCATAATTTTTGACGATTTGCATCATTTTCTGATTAAAGAGGTGCTACTACTTTCTTAAAAGACAGGAAACATTTCTCGCCTTTGCTCTGTTTATGCTTTTCTGATCTTGTATTGCAGAATTCTCCAAACAGTCTCATGGTCGCCAATCGCTCTAGTCTCATTTGAAAGAGAACTTTTTTATTACTGTACAAGAATGTGCATCTTCATTATTTGTCGAATATCCCGTGAAAAATGCATGACATTGTACTAAAAGTTGTAGCATTGGCTCTCCTCTACAATCTGAGCATATCTTGATAATCCAACGTGGTTTCCTTCTACATATCACCGTGGGGTGGTTTTGAAGGATAAGTTCCCGGACGAAAAAAATTGCATATTCGAAATCAGCATGTTAAGTTACCCCCGTCCCCATCAAAATCTCGACGGGGTACCTCTGCAACCTTACAAAAAAAATTAGGTTAAAAAGTTTCCATAGAACAGAAAAAAAACTCTCTTCGCAAGGGATTCGAACCCATGACACGTCACACACGCTATATTAGCCACTCGGCTATATGCGAAGCACTTGTCTTTTTTCGTTCTTCTATGTCATTTCTCATATCATCTTTCTGAACTTTCATATTCCTAAATACGATCTATTCAAGAGTTGATTTAAATATATCATGAATCTTCAACTTGAACCATTATTTGGTAATGATCGATCACAATTAATTCAGTTCGACAATAACAAAACAATAAAATGAGAGAACTATGTCATTATTGCGAACAATCGTATGCAGATCTTGATATATTAATTGTTCAGCATTAATTTATGGTTAAACCCCAAAAGTGTAAATTAAACGCTTTTTCAATTATCAATTCATACATATTTTTCAAAGATAACGTATTATAATAGGACCATTTGGAATACGAATAAATGTATCATTCATAGTCATCTATTTTTGAATAAAATAATACATCATAAATTTCATCGTTTTTGATAATCATAGGAACATGTGCTATAACTATTATATGGATATTACATGCAACAATAATCGTGACAACTGCAGCAATTCGAATGATGACTTTGTACACGATAATTGCTATGTCGGTAACGGTCTAGAAGAAGAGGAAAAGTTACAAATAATGCATATTTTTTGAAAAAAAAAACAAAATAATGACTAATTCAAATACGTTAAGGAATCTGTTTTTATCTATAATTACTTCTAGTCGTAGTTGCGGATCTTCTATCATAACCTTGATGTGAATGAAAGTGACTGTGATATGCAGCTTGTATTCGTCGTTGATGATGTTTCCAATCGCGTCGAAAACAAAGATCAACAGGCCAAGGTCGATTTTGTTTGGTTTTATTTAATACTGAAGAAGAACCTGTTGTTGAACCTGTATCATATACATCATTGAGCTCTAAAGGAGGAAATATGAATATTTATTACTAATACTTTGAAAAAAAAAGATGAAAATATAGGATTACCAATGGACATTAACGACACTGGCTTAATTGACGAAGCAGCAGACAATATTGGTGTTGTATTGCTACTAGATGAATTACTCAACGGCAATGATAATGATGATGAATGTTCATTATTGGAATTTCTAGAATTAAAGAAAACATAATACAACTATTTGCATAGAGACTTCATTTTTAATCAAGACAATGACATTAAGTATTTTTTTAATTTGATTTATCGTTGTACAACTACGTTCGATTTTAATTTTAGAAATACTCGTTCTTGGATTATTAAAGAATAGAAAATAAATCAAAATAATAATTTTGTTCATGTAGCACGATATCCACCAACTCTATCTAGTTAACGAAAGGAATTGAATTTTAGCTCCTCAACTCATTCCGAATCTATCTCAATAGACAAACTAAAATTAGCACAAGTCAATCAAATTTATATTGAATCACATTTTAATTCAATTCAATCTATTTCTTGAGATCTAAAAATTAAGCACTATTAATATTTTTTCATGATTGTTTGCAGGAAGAGTCTCTGCTAAGAATGATTATTTTGATTTATTTTAATTCTCGAATTACAAAAACAAAATAAATGATACCATACTTGTTGATTAGCACATTAGTTTGTGGTTTTTGTTTTTCTTGATTAAAAATAATTGATGAACGAACAACATCTTCTACCGGCATGAATTCAATTGATGATCCAAAATAGATTGGAGAACAAGCAACATCACGAGTAGAGGACCATGGAGGACTAGCACCAGTAGCCGTATCGACGAAATTTTCTTTTAGTGACATAATATCTGTCTAAAACAAAATATTCGTTTGAAACTATCTAATAAATTTCAAGAAACGTAGTGTATGAGTTGTTGAAATAAAATTCATTTCTATAGTAAAAAAGACGACAATATACAAAAACTATTGTTCTAATGTCATAAGTGACGTTGTTTTCTTGTTCTAACGAGCTGTGCGTAGTTATAACAAAGACGTCTGGTGAAGCGATAAACACAAGAAAGTGCACGTGTCGTGAAGAAAAGCATATAAGAATGTATGAGAACTGTTCAAAACATTAGATCACTATTACGAATTTTTTTTATGAAAAAACTAACATAAAATCAAGTTTTCTAAAAATTTACGTTTCTAGAGAGACTCAGAAATTTTCATCGTGAAAAGAATATTATTAATTAAAGATAAAATAAGCAACACAGCTGAAACTATTCACTGAAAATGTTCTGTGTCAACTATAATCTGAAGCAAATAATTTTTTAGTAGAAATTTTTAAATGCCATATACACGAAGACTTATGTCACCTGTATTACATAGGAAAATAATAAAATGTATTTAAATGGCACTGATATCTAAATAAATGCTTCACATGTTGTTAAACAATCTTACTTAGTAATACAAATTACGTCGTTTTAGATAAAGAAGAGAAAAAAAAACATTCATAAGTTGGTAGCTAATTGTCAATTTAAAAAAAAACATTTTTAATGAACTGTGGTATCTCTTGACGACTCTGCACATTGGCAAAGATAGAATATTAGAAAAAAAAATATCGGTACATTTATCGAAAGGCAAGGTAATAAGTCATAGCCAAGAATATTGATATTTCGAATAAAGTTTAGGAATGTTTATGTTCGTTTATATGCGAAAAAAAAACAAAACATCGTTCTCAATCGATTACTAATCATTTCCAATCTTTCGTAATATTTCTCATTTCATTAATTCATCCATTTTAAGTTTATAATAATCTTATAGCTGATTGAGAGATATTGCATGATGAAGTAGAAAAATATGAGTAGATTATTTCGTTTCATATAAATAGCATTTTGAACTCTAATAAAGATAATCAGCATATATTGTATTAAAGCTCTTTCGATAAAGACTCGCGCTCTTTTTCCCTTCAAGTAGATGAACATGTGCAGTGTTCGTAGCAGACATGAAATGGCGCAACAATAAAGAAAGAAGCAAGTTTTTCGTTTTGAATAAGAAAAGAAGAATTAATATGAATTAGTTATTGAGACCAATATATTTATGTAAAATCTTCATTACGAATAAGATGGGAATTTAAAAGTCAACATTTTTTATAAAGTTTTTGGAGAAACGCTCAACTTCACCTATTTATTATCTAATAAAATAAAAAAAAGTGTAAATACTTTTTATTGATCTTTAAACATTTATATTTTATATATAGTATGAAAACATTTATTCCTGTATATGTGGTATTTTTTTGACAACAGTAATAGAAACTATTAAATTGATTTTCGAGATATTCATATTTCTGTACAGCTTGTTTTTGTTCAAGACGATGTTTTATTTTTAGTGGTCTGTTCTCTTGCACCATGTGATGGCTCGTTATCGCTTGTGTTCTCTCTATGTATGACGAGCAATATCAAGTGGAAAAGGCGCGAAAGCTTTATCGAAAGAGAAAAGAAATACAATTTCTAAACCCTGTCATTCGTATATAACACGTCTACCGTTTACTATCTTATTATTGATGCTTATCAGTAATCATTTTGACAAAAGTAATCTTTTGTTCATCAACAAGAAGTAAGAGAAAAACAATTTATTGTAAATCGTTTGTGTTTTCTTAAAGACCATAATGAGTAAGTCATTGAAGATCGAAATAGATGTTTCAATGTACAATTCTATCGATGTGTTGAAATATTCACCAGCGATAGATTATATTGTCAATAAGGTGAATGATAATCTTCAGAAAAAGGGACAAAAATCAAATAATAGCTCAATCGTGAAGTCTTGTAAGAACGCAGTCTCTCTTCTTCAGTCTAAAAAAAAACAAATATCACCAAGTCTTTTAACTGTTTATTTACCGATGAACGTTCTAGAACTCGTTCAAGACACTGTTGTACCTAATACTTCATCTGATGAGGAAGTATCGGAAACTAGTACTGATAATGATTATGTTGATACTGACTTGGATTGTCAACTATCATTACCTGTTTCTAGTGATTCTCATATTTCTTTTTCTATTAATAATGATGTGCTGCACGTAAAGGCTTCTTTTCAATATCTTTTTGATTATTTCAAATATTCTCTTTCTATGAATAGTAAATCGATGAACTTCGAAAAAATTATAAATGACACCTGTAGGTATCTTTTTATTGAAAAACAAATTTCTGTAAATATGCGTGCACTAAAAAACGACATAAGCCGACAAATAGGTCATATTGTACAGTCAGCACGTTTACGTTCTGCTGGAAGAAATACCATCAGAGTTTTGCGTTTAAATCAAGATTTTTCTTTCATCTTTAAATGTATCAATTCTTTGAATGAAGTTGAACCGATAAAAGAATTCTCTCAATTTCGAACCAATTCCACTATAGGTCCGATTCTTTTACATCGAACATTAAACGAAAAACATGATGTCTTACAATTTTATCCATTTTCAAATACGATAGATATCACTTTCAGTAGATCATGGGTAGAAAAAGCTTTAAGTACATTCGATTCAGTTGGAGTGATTGATGTCGATGATCTTTTTTATCTTGTTAAAGAAAGTGCTTCGACATATAAACTGAACTTAGACTTTCAAAATCTTGTAGAAATAATAAGAACAGAAATGATATATTGTCGTACACAATCTACTTGTCATTCTGCTTTTCTTACTGTTCTACTGAGATATGTACAACCAAATAATATACAAAAAGATGATAATCGAATAATAATTAATGATTATCAATCTTTGTCTGAAACTGAACTCGATAATATTATTGGTCGTACTTATACTACACGTGGCTTGAAGCGTTTTTACGTAGAGGATTCCATTTCAATAGAACCTCTAAGGAACGTATATCGAAGAATAAAACAAATGAAAGATAAACGAGATTTATTACACCTGAAAGACACATATCATTTGACAGATAGTGCTTTCAATGCTGTTGTTAATTTTATTCGAAGTAAAAGAAAGCTCTATTCATTAACAGAAATTGAACGACTCCGAAAAGAAACAAATTCGAAATTTCCTATTTTGTTTACGACAGCAAGTGCTTATGGAAAGTTTGAATATGCCGTACGCACTGCCATTTTTGTTGCCCGCCATCATGAGCCGAAACTCGAGCAATTTGATACACTTAATATTCGTTTCAATATCGACGGAACGCTCATAGAAAATAAACACATAGTCGCTATATCAATCAATTGCATTGAAGGTGGACGAAATTGTCAAATGGCAAAAAATCTCGATCCTTTAGCTCTTTTTGAAGTACAAAAGGAAAACACCGAGTTATTAAGAAAAAGTTTGCCAGTCGAGTTCATTAACGATATTAAGTCTATGAAACGAATTTCTGTAGGAACAAAAGATATTAATATTCGTATTCGACTCGGTCGTGATCTTATGAATGCGGTCTATGTTTTTGGACTTGCTGGTTTTAGTTCGAATTATCCGTGTATTTTTTGTACACAGCATAAAGATGATCTTCATGTAACTGAAGACACAGCGTACGATAAAACTGTAACTGAAGGAAAAGGAAAGAATAAGAAAACAACTACTGTTCATATTGGTCCTACGTCATATCACGATATAGCTAAAGGAGCAAGATCTCTTTTCGAGCAAGCTTCATGTTTAGCAAAGAACACCAATGAGTTGGGATACAAGTGTGAGCCTCTGTTCGGTGATCTCTTCAACTATCAGGACTATTGTATTGATACATTACATATGAAGCTGCGTATTTTTGATGTCATTTTAAAAGACATTTTGTCTTATGCTTCTCGTACAGGAAAATATGGAAGTGAACATTTAGCTGTAATCGAAGAGAAAATTAGAATTCTAAATGAACATTGTGAAAAAACTGTCGGTGAACGTTTTTTCTTTCAAATAGATTCCGACGATAAAAATAAAACGATAGCTTCTCATGGAAAACTTTCAGGGCATCTTCAAGATCTTTTTTTTGTTGATAGTTTTCCATATAATGATATTCTTAGTGATGAAATAGCGAAAGCAGTTCGATCAGTTGTCAATAAATTTAAGGAAATTCTACGTGAATTAAGTCATAATACTGTAAAACAAAAAGGTGTTCTTAAAAAATTATCGCTCGAGTTCGTAAAAGAATTTCGTCAGAGTGGCCTTCAAACAACTGTAACACCTTACATTCACATAGTTGGAAACCATTTATTTGAGTTCGACGAATTCAATAACCTTGGAGATTTTAATATGCAAGGTGTTGAGAAAAATAATGACGTCCTTTCTCGTCTATATTTTTCATCGACGAATCCTGCCAAAAATCCTCTTCTAACTATGCTGCAAAAATTATATCGAATGCTCGAGATGAATTTTCAAGATGAAAAAGAGAGAGATGCCATGGCTAAATTTGCTCATACAGGAGTATATGACATTGTCGAAGAAAATATGAGTGAATTGGAATCCGACATTGAAGATCACAGTATTTTACCTCGTAACAAACAAGATAATACAGAAAGTGAAGAAGAAAATGAAGGACAATCAGATCTATCTATTAGTGAGAATGAAGAAGAGAATCAAGATGAAACAGAATCAGACGAATCTTTGGTATGGGCACCTGAAAACAGATTTGGTACTCCAATTTTACCTCGTACTCAAAATCGTTTTAAAAGCTTTCGAAGATCTTGAACGTTACTTTCGAGATAAACTTGAACAAACTTATGCGTGTTACTTCCTTTTATTATTGAATAAGCTTTCCTTCTTCAATATAAAAAAACTGATTCAAAATTCTATGTCTTAATCTTAGTAAAAAATTTTTTTTTCTAGATATCGAAAAATTTTTTCGTTTGAATGTTATGCACCAAGAGTATTTCATCCCATTGTGACCAACAATGTGGTCTAAAAATTCATATCCCACCCAATATTCCTATATACGACGGCCACATACATCTTAACCAAATTGTAACAAAAATTCAATCTGACTTTATTTCTGTCCAATTAAACCCCCCAATTCGAAACTTTCATTTTATAAATAATAATCACAAGCCTGAAGAATGGCTTATTCATAATCCTTCTCCCTTTTCTTCTCATGTTCACATTTATCCTACGCTTGGTATTCATCCCAAGTATTTTAATCATCAGTCTATATATCGAATATTGAATAACATGAAAAACCATCTCGAAATTTCCCATAAAAATATAAATATAAAAGATAAAATTGTTGCTGTTGGTGAATGTGGTCTAGATGAGACAATTGCAGCTACTATAGAGCATCAAATATTTATTCTCGAAAGACAAATAGATCTTGCCATTCAATTTCATCTTCCTATTGCTCTTCACTGTCGAGGTTTTCATCTCTATCGTCAGTTATTTGATTGTTTACGAAATCGAACATCAGATAGAAATCTACGAATTCACTGGCATTGTATAAACAGAAATTCTGATTTACATATTGTTGATCTATTTCTAAATCTATTCCTAATTCATATATTGGTCACAATGGATCCATTACTTATGAAAATTATAACCAAAATTCCATTTTTTTTAACAACTGGCTGATAGATCATTGTTCATTTCTTCCCGAAAGATTGATATTAGAGACTGACTATCCCTATCTTCCACCTCGAAATCTTCATAGTCTATATGATCCACCATGTGCTATTGTAGCCACAGCCTTATATCTAGAAAGTATGATAAATAATCAACATCAAAATACCTTGTCCTTCCTTCTCTCATCTAATTCAAACATAAAGTCTATGTATGACTTATAAAATTTCCATCTTGTTTTCCTATCATCCATCCTACAGTGCATGAAAAAAAATTACTTCGTTTTATAATCTGTATATATAATAGGCATATATTATTTTTCTTGTATATTAATATGTAGTTGTAATTACGTTTCTTTTTGCTACTAGTTATTATTAGTTTTATTTTGCTTTTTATCTTATTATTTGAGAGTATTTCTTTTCGTCTCTCATGGAAAAGACAAGAAAGAACATGCTTCTCCCTTTTCGTATCTCCTCTCTCATCGACTTATTCACATTGAATTTGAATATGTGACTAAGTTCGTTTGAGTCTGAGAAGTACGTCTGGCGAGAAGAAATTCGTCGATAAATTATATTAATTTCTATTGCTTTAATTTGCTGCATGATATTTGTTATTTTTGCTCACGTTTTATTTATTCATCTTTCTCTCTTTCCTTTTTTTATTTTAGAACTTTCATTTCAATACTCAATCGTTCCAAGATAATCAACATCAATTCATCTTATTTTTGCATATCGAACGTTAACTTTCATAATACATGAACTTTTGATCAACTTAACGTTACTCTGTTTGAACATTTTTTGAAGCTAATATACTAACATATAGTTTCACATAATGCATGTACTGTATGTTTTGTTGTATGTAATTCCGTATTAAAAAAATTTTGTTAATGAATACAACAATACTCTTGAACTTCCAGATAATAAAAATTTTTTATATTCTCATTATTCTCACCAAAAAAATAAAATAAAAATTTGAAAAACAAGTCTAACAACATATTTTATGCTGTCTTGTTCAAGTTCTCGCGCTTTATTTTCTCTTAACGCTTCTCTTCGGCGGCACAAAGAACAAAAACAATAATTAACTTCTATGTGCTTCGAGACACAGTTTCATACACAGAGACAAGCTTGATCAAGACATAATAATCCAAAAAACTACCACGAAAAATTCTGTTATGTATTTTAAAAAAAATTATCGCTCCTAAGACTAAGTTAAATTGACATAATATGGATAAATTTTACTAAAAAAAAAGGTCTATAACTGTTTAGAGATGTTTCATTTCATAACATAACAATTAAAATCGATGACTTATTTAACAACAAAACTAATGGGATATGGCAGTAGATTTAAAAAAATATTTGTCTAAAACATTAGAAAATATTTTTCACGTAAATAATTACATTGATCATGAAAAGATAGACATTCATTCTTTCTTCTTTGACGCGAGAGAAAACCCCTTCGTTAACGCGCCAATTTGTATGCATGTCAGCCATTGGCGCGTCTAGCCTCTTGAAGAAGAAAAAAAACATATCGACGCTGAGCGGTTTTGAGGGAAGAGTTCCCGGACAAAACAAATAGCATATTCGTAATCAGCGTGGTCAATTACCCCCGCCCCCGTCAAGATCTCGAGAGGGTACGTCTGACTCCAAGCAAAAATTTTTTTTACAAAAATCAATGCTAAAAAGTGCATATAGAACAGAAAAAAAATCGATTCGCACTGCATTCGAACGAGCGTCGCGTCATACACGCTCTTTAGCCATTCAGCTATATGCGATTTATTCTTGTTCTGTTCTGTCTCGAACAGAATCTTCATTTGATTATTCGGTCTAAGATCTATTGAGTAGATATTCAAATACAATATCATTAACCATCATTACAAGATAGGATCTTCTCACTCATACATATGTATTTCATTTAATCAAATGTGTCACTATGTCAATGTCTATTCATATCAAGAAAAAAATCCATATAAGAGTTTTTAACAATAATTAAATTTTTATTTTTTTAATTCTGATTTTTTTTTTGTTTGAAAAAGGAAAAAATAATAAGAGCAATATTGAGACGTTGTACACTTCAAATTTGATGAATTTTTAACTGAAAAGTTTTAGTATTTAAAAAGGACATGATTAGTAAATAGATTGTCTAAACGTAAATGATGCATTCTCGATGCTGTTTAGAATGATAAAAGAAAATTAAATTTTTTAATTACTTTTTAGTAAGAACAATTGGAGTCTTAATTTGAATACCTCCTCATCTTCCACATAGAAAAAGAACTTTCCCAAACAGATTAGTTTCAATAAGTACCAATTTTTAACTATGGCTTCTATAAATAAAAATACAATGGTTTTAATATGCTGATCAGAACATCTGTAAAAAAGAAGTATAATTCGCCAAAGAAAATCAAATATTTTACTAGACTGTTTTTGTTTTAAATGAGGGATTAGTTTATTTCATAGAGGAGTCTGAAATCTCAATTATATTACGACGAAAGTTTTTATCTTTGAAAATTTACACATCTATTGATACACGTAGTAATGTTTGTTTCTGGTTCGCTAAATTCTGGTAGCACAAGCTTTGGTTGAAATAAAAAGAAAAGATTAACTTTGAGTAAGTAAAAAGATCAACGATGGTTAATTTTATATTTTAAACATCTTATTAATAAATAAATTTATGTTTTCAAAATAAAATAAATTTTCATTTTATTTTACAGAACAGTTTCAAGAGAATATGAATACCACTTACAGTGTTTTATTGTTCAATCTTTTCTCATCTCGGATTTAAAATTGTTTTATTATTCTCTTCGAGTTTTTCGTCGATCTTAATATGTAATCTGGAAAAAATCTACATGACTTTAGTTTCTTTGAATCAGAATAGGATCAACAAAATGATTAGATTCATCTAGTCCTATCTCATGACGTACATGTGTTTCAATGTGATCAAGATAGATGAAAAAAAAAGAAATTGGCATGAAGGCCTGTTCATACATTAACGATATCAGATGATATGAAATTTAACAACAGAAATAAAACATCTATAATTTTTGTTCATGAACCTTTTCAAAATTATTTGTCAACAGTTCTAAATATATTCTCTTAAATTTAATTACATGTTGTTTATTCTTCGTTAGTCATGATTCAATTTTTCGTTGCAATGCCATCGCATAAAAGAAATTTTCACTTTATTCATGAAGTACATTTTAGGGCTAATCTAAATGCTTTATCTGATATCGAACAATAGCTCTCCTAATAAAATGTCTATTTCTTCAATGAATATGGTTCCCAATATGAATCGATAAAAATTGATAGACAAAAACATATATTGAAGATAATCGAGGATGATATTAAATTTTCATCGACTAATAGAACAAGTTAATCAAACTCAAAAGTTTTGATCAACAAATTCATTTATTTTTAATACAAGAAGAATTTCTCGATCATTCAACGATAGACAGTTTTCACTTTTTTTCTCTGCTTCATTCATCTTCTTTTGGCGCGTGCGCACTCTACACATGGAATTGTTTTGTCCGGGAACTCTTCCCTCAAAACCGCTCAGCGGTGATATGAGAATTGAAGAAAACATGAAATATTAGATGCCATGAAAAACAATCCAAACATATGCGACATCTTTCGATAGCTACCTCATATTATCAGTCAAGATAGGTGAAATATGGACTGTGAATTCGAGTTTGGTTCACTTCTGACGACTGCTGTATTCACAGCTGTTTGATATATGACCAAAGAAATTGGCGCCTAACTTTTTTTGAATTTTCGTTTTAATTATCTCAAAAGTAAACTTTGTCAAAATTGTGTTTTTGGAGCTCAGATTATTTATTGGTTGTATAGATGGTTCGACTAAAAATCGTAAGAGTTCCATGTCGATACTTCCACTTCGCGTTTCTACGAATCTTTTGTGAATTTCCGTTCTCGAGTTTAAAAAATGTTAAATGATAATTGATTTATCAAGCTTTCAAGGCATACGCGTATCACCATTATTAACATTGTTGCGAAGAAGCCTCCACGAAAACTTGATATTTGTCCATATATATGAAAAAAGAGATAGATGGGTTGAATGATTATATTTACTGCAAGCATCTACATTTAATCAACCCTACAGTTAAATTTACATATGCTTCTTTTTAAAAATAC